CTGTCTCATACTCACGTGTACTCATGCTCCATCCCCCTCACCACCACCATCACCGCCAAATTCCCCCCCCCCCCAACCACCACCAGTATCAACACAAGCACGCAGAGGAACTGGAGCTTGAGGACCACGGTATGGACGACGTCACGGGCGGTCAAGTCAGCCGTGTCGAGAGCCGTGTCGAGAGCCGCGTTGACAGCCGTGTTGAGAGTCGCCATTCTCCCGTGCATGTGTCCGGCGGTGGTGTGCAGCCATGGAGCGAAGGCGTCACGGCGGTTGATGTGGAGCGGGTGGTGCGAGCTGGTCTCATTGGATTGAGCACCGCCGAGGAGGTGGACGAGGACGACGATAGTGGAAGCGGAGGCGAAGGTGCGCTGGGCACACACACGGATGAGGAAGGAGACAAACAACGACAACAACAACAACAACAACAACAACAACAACAACAACAACAACAACAACAACAACAACAACAACAACAACAACAACAACAACAACAACAACAACAACAACAACAACAACAACAACAACAACGGGTGGAAAGGGAAGAGGAAACTGAGGTTGTTGAAGGTCTGTTCTCACGATTGCTCAGTGGCTTTGGTGCTACCACTCCACGCACACCCGTATGATGATGATGGTGGTGGTGGCTGCTTCCCATTCTTTGTATTTTACTCTCCTTTGACTGTGCGTGTTGCCCCCTGCCCGCCCTCTTTTGTTTGTTCATAGGCAACGCCCCTCCCCCTCACTCCTTTGTCACAGTCGAATGTGTGCACAATCCCTCGCGTGCGCGTGATTGCCTTGTTGCTATGCCATTCGTTCATTGTTCATTTCGCTCAAGCCAGCAGGCAAGCCAGCCAGCAATCAAAGTTGTTTGCTCTTTGCTCTATGTACACACAATTTAAACTGCATATGTGCCCAATTGCAAAACATGTACAAAGCCACTCGCGCGCGAGAAAGAAAGCACCGTAAACCCAGCGACGCGTGGGCTATGATGTGTCGCGGTAGTCCTCCAGGAGTGATGAGTCCTCCTCACGCTCCTCCGAGCTCGAGCTGACGAGGATGTGTGGACCGTACGTCCGCAGCAGTCTGGCAGGGAATCGCAGCACAAAAGCATGGCGGGTGCATGGGTGCATGGGTGAGAGTGGAAGGAGCAGAAATGACCACAGCAACATGAGCATCACCCAGAAGAAACGCCACAAACAACGACGCATGAGATCGCGCGCGCACACACACACACACACGCACACACACACACACACACACACACGCACACACACACACACATACACACACACACACACACACACACACACACACACACACACACACACACATGTGCATTACCGCTCTTCTCTGCGCCGTTGCCGCGCCGTCATCTTGCGATCGCGTCCGTGACGATGACGATGGTGGTGACGATGGTGATGATGATGGTGGTCGTGCTGCTGCAATACGCCACCACCACTGTCGTCATGCGTTGGGAGCGGCTGATACTGTGCTGTTGCTGCTGTAGCAGATGTTGCACCTCTGTGTTGGAGGCCACTGAAGAGGGACACCTCGGGATGGTCATCACCAACACGATGTCGCCCACCACGCCTCCTAGCACGTCGACTCCCACTCCCACCACCGCTGCCAGTGCTGTTACCGCCACTGCCACGACGACCCTGCCGCACGCTGCTCGCGCGTAGCAATCGCTGAACACCTGTGGCATCACCGTCACTGCCGTTGCGGCTGCCAGCATGTGCACCCCTTCTCCTTCCACTTCGTTTCGATGACGATGAGCGCACGAGCACAAGCGGTGCCGCGTGATGCGCGTGCCCGTTGCCCCGCTGGCGGCGATGGTGGAGGTCGTGCTGCTGGTCCTCCTTGGACGAGCAGCTCCCAAACTGAAAGGCGGCGCCGGCGAAGGACAACAGGACCCAAATTCCGAGCAAAATGTCATCGCACGGCTCTGCAGGAGACAGGAAATGGAAAGGAAACGGGGTTGGTTGGTTGGTTGACGTGTGCACGCGGAGAGAGGGAGGGCGTTGATGCGAAGGGGGATGAACTGGTACAGCATGCAACAACTCACAAACAACACACACATTACACAAACAACACACACATTACAACACGCGTGTACGCACCGAGGTGTGGCTCGCTTGCGCTCGGTGCGTGGGCGCCGCGGTCGTGGTGTCGAAGATGTTCGTGAACCACCTCAATCACCTCCGTGAAGTGGCAGTGCTGGTAGTATCCCAGGCCTGGCAACGATGGCGGTGGTGGTGGTAGTAGTGGTTGTTGTTGTTGTTGTTGTTGTTGTTGTTGTTGTTGTTGTTGTTGTTGTTGTTGTTGTTGTTGTTGTTGTTGTTGTTGTTGTTGTTGTTGTTGTTGTTGTTGTTGTTGTTGTTGTTGTTGTTGTTGTTGTTGTTGTGATGGTGGTGGTGATGGCGGTGGTTGTTGTTCCGCATCGTTGAGACGCGGTGCAAATGAGACATTGGAGGCAGCAATTCTGGTGGGGAGGGGCAGCAAGCACGCGAACGTGCACGCGTGCAAGTTCAAAACGCACGAGCAGAAAACATGTGCACACGCACATACACTTTGTACGATGCGCTCATGATGCCTTTCTTTCTTACATATGCAGAAGAAGAATGCGCCCACGGTGGCTGTGGCGACAATGACTACAGCCCTCTCCTTCCACAAGGCAAGGCATCCACACCCGATACCAACCACCACATACACGAGCGCAATCGTGTCTGCAGATATGTTGCTCACACCCACGCGGGCTGTTGTTGCGCGTGATTGACATGAACATGACATGGGTTGTGAGATGGCACATCAAACACAAAATTTGCGACACACACACACACAGAGCACAATAACGACATGACCCAAGGAGCAACACCAAAATCGCGCGCACATGTACACACGACACATCACGCAACATCACGACAGCACAATGACAACAACACACAATACTGCAGCCAAAGCAACGTACTCAGGAATCCCTTGATGAAGAGGGAGAGGACGAGGCCGAGGCAGCTGCCGGTGAGGAAAATGCCAGCACGCAGCACCCACAGGGCCATGGCACCAGCTAGCAGCCCAAGCACCACACTCACAACCGCACGCGCTGTGGTGATGGATGACGCGCCAAGTACAACCGTTCGTTGTCAGCGAAACGTGATTGAAGGGTTGTGCAGGTCACACACACACACACACACACACACACACACACACACACACACACACACACACACACACACACACACACACACACACACCACACACACACACACACACACACACACACACACACACACACACACACACACACACACACACAAACACAAACACGCGTACGGTGGCGTACCGTTCTCTGTGCCTGGGCCGCAACACATGTCAAAGTCAAGCACTTCTGGTGAGAAGAAGAAGAATGTGCCTGCCGCCGTCACGAATCCGCCCATAAATAACCCTGGCAGACACCACAGCCACGCACAAATGCATGCGTGTATGTGTGAGTGTATGCGTGTGTGTGTGTGTGTGTGTACGTGTGTGTGTGTGTGAGTGTATGCGTGAGTGTGAGTGTGTGTGTGTGTGTGTGAGTATGTCAGGTGCGAGGATAAGTTCATCAAGGGTGCTGTTATTCAAAGAGCAGCAGCAGTCGTCATGCGGTGGTGTTGCTGATGCCGCCGTTGAACAGCTCAAAGCGTACATGTGTTGTTGCACTCACAGAGGCGGAGGAAATCGTAACCGGCGAAAATGACGGCCAAGTCTGCGCACATGGCGACGGCGACAACGTAGCTGCGATTTGCAGGATCCCGTACACGCGCCACCCACGCGGTCCAGTTGGCATTCTTCACGTCAGACATGACATCTGGGATCGCTGCAAAGGAAGAGAACAAGGTTACAGGCGAGAATGAGATTAGCAATGCAAGTCACGCTCGCTCAGTCACCCACACACACTCTCTCACTCACGAGCATGCGCGAATGTACAGCAACGAATACATTCATTCGTTCATACACATCAAACATGTCTTCCCCATTTCACCTGACCACGCACCGAATTGGCCATCCTCGTGGCCCACCGATTCGGTGGGACGTGAAGTCTCTTCCTTCGCATGTTCACTGGAAGCGGCCGGCAAGTCCTGCATGTCAGTGCGCGGCGGTGCTGGTGCTGCGCGGGCATTGGCAGCGATGCATGCCATCGCCACAATTAGGCCGGCCATCCACAACAAGCCCAAGCCGCGCCTTCTCAGCCTCACGACAGGGCTCCTGTGTTTTTCAGCTGGCCATGCCTGTAAATGCACTGCCCTGTGCTTTGAAACCACGCTTCCGATGCCGCTGCCATTGCTACGGCTAGGCTTGCCGCAAGCAGCCTTCAGCATCCTGCTGCTGTCGGCACACCATCCACCACAACACACACACCCACTCCCACCCATCATCTCGTTCCTCGTTTCCGTTTTTGGACGACCCAAGTCCTGAACATTTACCGTATCTTCAATAAGTTTTCAGCAATGGCGGAACAGCACCACGGCAGGTTGGTTGGTTGGTGCAGTGATGTGAGGACACAGCAGTGGAAGGGTGACAACGGATGTGAAGGTGACGGGGACGAGCCTCCCGTCTGTCTGGCTACCTGCCTGCCTGTCAGGCTGGCTGCTTGCACGATGACGTACTCGACTCACCCTGCACACGTGTATGCACATGCACATGCACACACCTCTGGATGCCATTGTTTTGTTCTCTCTCACACTCCCGCTGCTGACTTGTTTTGGATCCAGAATACACCTGGTGCCGCTTGGCGGGCGTGACCTGCTGCCATGGGCGCAGCTGCGCATCCGCGCCATGGGGCTGGAGAATGAGGAGTCGTGGTCCATGACTTGCAAGGCGTACTCCACCAAACAGGAACAGTGCAAGCGCTTCTGCGCCGTCACGCTCTCAGGTATATTGTGTGTGTGTATGTATGTGTATGTGCGTGTATGTATGTGTATGTGCGTGTATGTATGTGTATGTGCGTGTATGTATGTGTATGTGCGTGTGTGCGTTTGTATGTGTATTTGAGTGCGTTTTTGGGGGATATGTGTTGCCGATGGATGTCCCTGTGTGTGACTTTCCTCTTTCTTGTCATCTCAAACACGATGCTTGCAACTGCGCTGTTCCTCCTTTCAGATGAAGCCGACAACATGTACGTGGCATCGCTGGGTGGAGAGGTGGCTCTTCTTGGCAAGGTGCGCGACACAACACCCCTTTCCCCACAACACACACACACACACATTCTCTCTCTCTCTCTCTCTCTCTCTCTCTCACACACACACACTCTCTCTCTCTCTCTATCTCTATCTCTGTGCTCAAAGAGTGATATGCCTGAATAGTTCGTGAATAGCTCACCAATGCTCCGTTTTGCATGGACAGGGTTTCGACAACATTGTCAGTGCCATGACAGACGCGTACACAAACTTCAGAACCCTGAACATCGAGGTTGGATAAGCCGCTTGGATTGCACGATGGCAGACTTGTGCAGTCTGCGGGCACGTGAGCCTCACCATCTTTGCTCCTTTGCAATCTGCCCAAGCACACGCTCATATATCCTCACGCATCTGCACCCACACACACACACACACACACATACATACACATATTCGCCTGCGCACATTGACGCGCATACGCATATGCATGCGTCCACACTGCTCTTGGTACGTGTTCCTGTCCGTGTTACAGGGGTATCGAGCCGAGTCTGCCACAGCCCGGGCGTGGTTTGGTCTCATGTCCTTGCAGGCAAACCACAAGTTCCTGTATGTGGAGGTCGACTACAACGGAGAGCACGCGGAGATGAATGACTTTTGCCACACCTTGCTCGGCATCCAAGTGGTCTGTGGAAAATGTGGTTGTATTCATGTGTGATTGTGTATGTGTGTAGGTGCGTTATTGTGATTGTGTGTGATTGTGATTGTGTGTGTGTGTGTGTGCGTGTGTAAATGTGTGTGGGTGTCTGTATGTATGCCTTGTTGCCCGTCTGTCTGTCTGTCATTCTGTCCATCTGTTTGTTCCCTCCGCTTGCCATTTACATGGGCGCTGCGACTCGCTTGCTCCATCATGTCTTGCTGCTATCATTCACCTCTTTCTTCCGCACTGCCCTACCCCTTCAGGAGCGGCTGCGTGACTACAGCTACACATCAAACCCGCACGGCGATCTATTGAGTGCGCAGTCGTGGCGCCGACGCATGAACACACTCGTCGCCCTCTTCCGCAGCGAAACCCTTTTCTGAATGCCGCTGCTCGGTGTGTGTGTGTGTGTATGTATGTGTGTGTGTGTGTGTGTGTGTGTGTGTGTGTGTGGGGTGTGTGGGTGGGTGGGTGGGTGGGTGGGTGAGTGTTCGTGTTTGTGTGTGTGTGCCCTGATGTGTCTCCTTTCGATGCGTTTGCACTGTCGGCTGTACCGACACATGGGTTTCCCTGCGTGCGTGCTGCATGTTGCGTGCGACTATTCTACTGTTACGTTGCATTACACCTCGTTTCCATTAACCATCGATCAAGCCTCAAAACACAAACAAGACAACCTACACCTACAGCTAGCGGAATGGCTACAGGCCAATCATTTCGAACCTTTTCTTGCACACATACACGCAGCACATCAACCAGCTATGCGCGAACTAA